TGACGTGGCACGTCATCTCAGCTTGCAAATGTCGGAAAGGGCCCGTCTTCCAGGATATCTAGGGAACCACTCCTCCCCATAGGGACAGGCTGCACCGTATATATAATGGGATTGAGTGAAGATTGACAAGTGCAGCCGTAGTAATATAGAGAGCGAAGAGGGGAGAAGGTGATTACTGAATTTATTGCATTAAAGTTAGGGAAAGGGAAAGGGAAAGAGAGCTGGCGAAAAATTGGGCCAGGAGCGGGGATTGAACCCGCAACCTTCGCCTGACCGGGGCGACGCCTTAACCGATTAGACCATCCTGGCCACTGGTTTCGGCGGACTCAATTTCTGACCAGCTCTCTGTGTACTGTTCGGTTTCGAATTCGCTTATATATACGTATATAAAAACGTATATATATATATATATATATATATATATATATATATATCAAATGAAAAACGTATATATATATATATATATATATATATATATACGTTTTTCATTTGATCTAGAACGAAGATACATCTCATTGCCTTGACTTTCCTTTCTTTTCCTTGATTTGATTGTATGTGTTTTCTTTCCAGAAAGGCAGTAGAAGCGTAGAGATGGGGTAGTGGCTCCATCTGTTGCGGTTCCGGTAAAATACGATTTCCCGTTTTGCTAGCCTTTTGCTGCGGTTTTCCAGCGTGCTGTAGACACGTTTTCTACTCGTTCGTCGTCATTCGCCGAGGAAGTTTTTTGAGACTCTGTGTATTGTTGAGACTTGCCGTTGTGAACACGTGGAAAATTTTACGAAAGTGCAGTGTCGCAGGAAAAAGGCACAACGCGTCGAAAGGAAGGGCTGGCGGCGTGTTCAAAGCTTCCTTGGCACGCCGAAGTGCCGTGTCCCTGTGCCTTCGCGCGCTTGGATACCGACCAAGAACCGACGCCGTGTGAATGTGTTTAGCGAGTGCAATGTGCGTGAAGCCGTATCAAAAGGTACAACTCGTCGAAAACGTGTCGCCGGTGTCGCGGCGTGATCAAAGCTTCCTTGGCACGCCGAGTGATGCATCTTTGTGCCTTCCGCTTGGATACCGGTCAAGAATTGACGCCGCGCCAAAGTTCTGAACGTGTGTCGCGCGTAGATGCCTTTAGAATTTTAGATCATTTATATATATCGGCCACGGAGTTCTGGATCGTCCAGCTGTTCCGGTGAGTTGCTATCAATAAAAGGGGGAGATCTGTACGTGTTCTTATGTACTATATTAACCATGGCTATGTCCCAAATCTACTCTAATAGATTCCGTGGGAGCACGAATAGGGCAACGTTGTGGAGCCAGGGGGTTTTCGAAAGCAAAAGTACAAGACGGCGAGAATGAAAATCTTTGAAGCGCGGCCGATATGGTCGTGTGCAATCTGTTGACCAATTACAATTAGGCGAGCCGCGCTCAAACGTCAAGTGCAATTAAGTAGGTTGATAATAAGCCAGCACTGATCAGTGATGAGGAGCTGTTGTGCACGGTATTGTGTAAATCGTCTAAGGACGAAAAAAAGACGTACCTTCCCCCTATCTTCCGTCGCTAGTGGACGCTGGATTAAGCTCGTTCCTAAACCGCGAGGGGAAAAGACGCTGATCCAGAGGCACGAACAGCTTCACGCACATTGCACTCGCTAAACACATTCACACGGCGTCGGTTCTTGGTCGGTATCCAAGCGCGCGAAGGCACAGAGACACGGCACTTCGGCGTGCCAAGGAAGCTTTGAACACGCCGCCAGCCCTTCCTTTCGACGCGTTGTGCCTTTTTCCTGCGACACTGCACTTTCGTAAAATTTTCCACGTGTTCACAACGGCAAGTCTCAACAATACACAGAGTCTTCAAAAAACTTCTTCGGCGAATAACGACGAACGAGTAGAAAAGGTATCTACAGCACGCTGGAAAACCGCAGCAAAGGCTAGCAAAAACGGCAAATCGTATCCCAAGCGAGTGAAGTCCGGTGGCTTCACTTGCGCTGCAGCGAACAAGCGGGGAAGCGCGATCCAGCAATTGTCATAGAGGTCAGTGGTTAAAACTATATAGACCTTTTCGAAAAAATAGTCAGAGTGCAGGCGAGCTGGTGTAAGTTGAACATGATTGTAAACCTGAGACTGGGGCAGGAAGAGAACACAACAGAAGGTAGTAAAAGAGGAGGCAACGTCTCAAACTCAGCTGCAAAGTTTATTTCGAACACGCTTTATATACCCATCTCCAACGCCGTCTCTACAAAACAAAAAAAAACACACACAAGAGGACAATGACACTTCGGTAAACCTTCTCTTATCTCTCTTCACCTTGGCTGTGGGACACTCTTCCTGCCCCAGTCTCAGGTTTACAATCATGTTAGACCTTTTAATTTTATTAGTTGCCTCACCGGCGGATAGAGGGCGCTGACGCACTCGGCGCCATCAGGTTGCTTCAATTTGGTTGGTTTCGGTTTCAACGTGAACGCGGCTATGTTGCTGTTTACGTTGTTTTTGCTTAATTTTGTGATTCGATTAGTTTCCTTGCAGAACACAACAAATGAAACAGTGGTACTGAGTCACTCTGAGGACCACGAGATGTATTTTAGCCTAAATTGCGGGATTTCTTTTTCCAACCCTACCGAAAAATCCGGTATAACTTTTCGCTATCCGGATTATGGAACCGGAAATCTATCTGGATTCTATCTGGACTCTAGCTGGAATTTAGGTTTTCAGAAATTATTCCTTTGTCTGCAATCTGGATTTCGGGTTTCCAGTAACAAATTTCCGGTTCCATATTCCGGATAGGGAACGTTATACCGGATTTTTCGGTAGGGTTAACTCCTTTGATGTAGCTGATTATGGTCGGTTGCGAAACGCCTGACTTATGTACAGGGAAAATTACCATCGTATACAGCCGTACCCGATGACACTAGTTTCCAGAAAAACAAACTAATAAAGAGACTAACACGTGAATGTAAATAAGCATATCGACAGCTTGATCAGCATTGTGCTGAATCGGCCAGAACAGATGAACTCGCGAGTTTACTACTCAGTGTTCGGCTTTCGTGGGCACCCAATCTTTAGTGAACTTCGCAGACTAAAAACTTATCGTGTAATGATGCGGATAATTGATATAAACAAGTAGTATCGCCTCAGGCCCTTTTTTAATTCAGAACTCGAGCATGTTTTGACATGCCGAGTAGGAAGTATCTTAAATTGTCAACCCTGCTAAAGTACTCATAAGCAGAATTTCGCGATATTTTGCCAAGAAATAAATTATTTTTATATGAACATTTGCTTACTCATTATATGACGTAAGTGACAGGCCCGTCAATTTAAATCTAACATTTGTCTTCCGTGAAATTGGCCAAATAAAATTAAAGGGCGCAGGAAGAGAAATGCCCCCGAAAGTTTGGCTGAATTTTAGCGCAGGCACTACTTTATGAACCTGTGTAAACAAATAATTTTTTTTTTTTTTGAGCAGATGCGCTCTGTAAATTTAGGTTTCACCAGCCACCAAAAGTAAACTTCTATGCACCATCGACAATCCTGGACTAAACAAATTGTTATGCAAACGTTTTTTGTTGTTTTTTTTCGTAAAATATTGCGAATTTTAGATGCGCACAAAAACTAAAGCAGCGTACGCAAAAGAAAAAACAAGCGTCGTCATTATTGAGCATGCGCCGAACCGAAACCGCGTTTTGGATTTGCAAATAAAAACGGCGTTATTTCTTTGTGCACGCTATTATAAAACTCGCTACCGTTAAGTGTCTGTGGCAGTTTCTTACGCGGGAAGTTCCAACCTTTGTGTTAAAATAAATGAAGTGGATGACAATGGTTATCTAAATGTAATCAATAAATCACTTAAATGACTGTTGAAATGGGAGCGAGCACGGTATACAATTTCCTAAACTTCATAAGTAAACCGACCAACCGAATGTTTATGTCGCAAAAAAAGCTTGAGAACCTCATCCACATGTAGGTGTGATATTATGAACTAACAATTCGCCTGATGTTGTCGACGTACCATTACTTCTAGCCTTAGATAAAATGCAAGTCAAACGTTCGTTGTCTATCTCCTCCGCGAGTTTCCTCACATAATCAAAAGCAACTGTTTTCGATATATTATGAACACAAAGAACGATACTTTCAGGAAATAACGATAGTCTCCTTGCGCTGACTATTCTTGACGCCTTACGATCCTAAATGTGCGATATAAATATACCCGCTTCTTATTGGGAATGTTGCGTTGCTATTACTAAACAAACCTCAGTTGACATAAGAACCTTTGAACCCTCGTGATGTCTTAGTCGTCGAGTAGACATATCGGACTACAGTTTCCGAAGTAAGGCAAGAAAGCGCGGTGAAACGCAACGAAAAACACGAATACAACGCATTCGCCAAGGCGCGGAGGAGAGAGCGGAGCAGCAAGTTGAAGCAACCTAATGGCTGCCGCGTCACGTGGTTCCAAGATGGCAGCGCCCATGCGGAGTAGGATGAAAAGGTCTTATGCCTTCATGTGCGCTTCGCATAGAGTGATGCCAACTGCCTGTTTCCCTTTCCGACACCCTCTTTCACCGCCATTTTCTTCCTGTCATTGTTTCCCCGTGCGCCGGAAAGTGGCCTTTGTGTCTATCGATCCTTCCATCCGAGGGCGGAAATGCTAATCCTCCCTCCGTGGGTTCCACAACGCTGCTCCGAACTTGTGAGATAAGGTGCTTGTTTCCGGGAGGGTTTTAAGCCCCACGGATTATCGCCGAGAACCAAAATGGCTAGTGGTTTGTCGGCGAGTGGTATTACAAAGGGTGGCATCACCCTAGCAAAGCGCACATGAAGGCTCCCTAGTAATAGAGGCCTTCATGTGCGCTTTGCTAGGGTTATGCTAGGGTGAATTAATTTTTTCACTCGCGTGTCCCAACCAGACTGCTTAAAAAACATGTTTTTCTTTTTTTCTTTTTATGAGCCCTTTAAGACGCCAGTGGGCAGTTTTATTCGTTCGCCTATTCGCACACAGATGTGAGGAGCATCAACTTCATGTCCTACAGACGCCTGTCGTCGTCGGAGGAGGAATGGTATTGTGGTGCGTGCCAACTCCCAGCTTTTGACGATGAGCTGTTCCCCACATGCCCTACGCCTGCATCTCGGGGCTCTGACCCGACCCGCGATCCAGTGATTGCCAACGCCACGCCGCATGGGCAGCCTCAAGCCAACCTTGCGGTATGGTTTTTGAACGTCCGTTCTGTTAAAAACAAACTGCTCGATTTTCAAGCGCTCGTTGAATCCTCTGGAGATACAGTGTTTGCTCTCTGCGAGACGTGGCTCGACCCCTCAGTGCCAGATGGGTTACTTGTTGACACTGCTCGACATGTGGTACACCGGAAGGACCGTGCAGGTCGTAGTGGCGGTGGAGTTATGTTTGTTGTCCCTCGACACTTGATCTGCCGGAGGCGTCAGGACCTTGAAGTTGCTGGCCTTGAGTCTCTCTTCATTGAAATTGCCCACAAACGAGGGAAGGTGCTCTTCGGCTGCGTGTACTGTCCTCCATCTACCCGAGTTGCGGCCTATCACCTGCTTAATGACGCTCTGGAGCGTGTCGCCGTAAGCTCCTATTTAAATATTTGCATACTTGGTGATTTTAATGCCCACATCGACTGGACAGACATAACAGCCCCCGTCCCGTTGGCACCAGATGATGGCACACTCCTGGACATGATGGAATCAAATGGACTTGTTCAGCTTTGTGACGAGCCATCGTACTACTCGAGTGCAAAGAATGCCTCTTTTCTGGATCTGGTCTTCACCACGAACCCGGCCCTCATCTCCACCTGTTCTCTGGAGCCCAGCCTCGATGGGTCTGACCACAAAGCTATACATCTGGAGAGCCTCCTGTCGCTTCCCAAGTTTGGACGGTATGCAAGAAGGGTCAAGTTGTTCTCTCAGATGGATGGCGCCCACCTCACCAATCTTGTGCATCTCGCTCCATGGATAATTGCCATAAACGAGCCGTCGGCAAGTGACTCGTATGATATCTGGCTCGACCTCATAAGTGCAATAGAAAAGGAATGTGTCCCCGTCAAGAACAGCACTGGACGGCGGAGGTCTCCCTGGATAACAGACAGCATCATTCAGCTTACTCGAAAGAAGCGCAAACTCTTCAGACGGGCAAAGAAAACTAACCACCCGCGCCACCTCAGTATGGCACGGCAAGCCCAGAGAGATTTAAAGAAAGAAATCTACACCTCGCACAGGTCTTACGTGGAGACCATTGCCCAGAAGGCAGCCCGATCACCGAAACTGTTCTGGTCATATGTTAACCATCGGAGGAAGTCGTCGTCCTCGCCAGAGTTCACGGTCGATGGGACCATTGTGGAGAGTCCCCAAACTGTTGCAGAACTCTTCAGTGCCCAGTTCTCCACAGCATGGACTGTCCCTGACACTCCCAGTGCCGTCGACACTCGCACACCCCCGGGTCTAGTACCGCTCGGCCACATGGACATAGGGGTGGGCGATGTTGCTGAGGCATTGAGACACCTCAAGCCCTCCCAGGGTGCAGGCCCAGATGGAGTGCATCCAATGCTGTTGAAGGCCTGCTCCGAGCGTCTCAGCACTGTCCTCGCACGGCTGTTCGCAAACTTCCTGCAGGCAGGCTCCGTCCCCTCCCAATGGAAACTTGCCCGTGTCACACCAGTGCACAAAGGAAATGGGTCCCCGACCTCATCTGTTGCATCATACAGGCCCATTTCATCTACGTCTGTGGTTTGCAGGACAATGGAGCGGATTCTTAAAGGGGCGGTGCAACGATAATCAATTGGAATGTTTTTCACTTTACACGAGCTTACTGGCACTAGTGGGACTTAAGGATACTCGCACGCAACGCCACTGACCAGGAAACTCCTTTGTTGCGCTGTAATTTCGAGGACAAAACCGAATGTTTTCATTCAATCTCTCCTTCGAAAAACCTGATGACGTAGCTGAGCGGTAGCAGTACCGCCCAGTGACGATATTTGAATACGGCGCATAGATTGGACCCGAGCATGGCGTGGACACTCGATTTGGGCTCGTGATAATCGATAGCTCGAGAAACATTCGGGTAGTGTCCTGTGTCCAATCGCTGCAATGACGACAACAGCCGAACCATAACAATGTCTGGAACTCAGCGCGTGTCCTGTGCCTTGCCAACCCCAGCGCATGGCCATGATCAACATTGGCGGCATATAATCGGCTCAAGATCACGGAACCGCTTGTTCTGGCTGCGAGTTGAGGGGGTCAACGCTGCTTGTTTTTTTTTTTATTTTTTTTCTGCGACTTCGATTGCGTGTGGTGAAAACGAACGGGTATTTCACAGATCATTAACGTCAGGGATTCGTTCTAAGCGGTATTTGTGCAAAATACAAATATCAGTGCGTCGCCTCTTTAATAAAAGGCTCCTTGAACACCTAGAGCAGTATGGGCTGCTCTCACCCTGTCAGTACGGCTTTAGGCCCGGTCGTAGCTGTGAGTTAGCCCTGGCCGAAACAGTTCACACCCTAAGCTCTCACCTCGACAACCGCATCCCCTGTCAACTCTTGCAGCTTGACTTTAAGCAAGCTTTTGATAGGGTGGATCACAACATGCTGCGCCGCAGGCTATCCGAGATGGGCATTACAGGCTGCCTTGAGAATTGGATTTCTGACTTTCTGCGAAATCGCTCCCAGAGAGTTGTTTTCCGGGGCACAGTGTCGAGCCCCAAACAAGTCATGTCGGGAATTCCTCAAGGAAGTGTTCTTGGGCCGACTTTGTTCAGCATTTTTTTATCAACGATGTGACGTCTTCCCTGCAGTGCACACCCCTTTTGTATGCAGATGATTTGACAATTATGCACCCAGTCCAGAATCCCTCCCAGTATCAGCAACTTCAGGACGACCTCAACACCGTCCATGATTGGTCTGTGACAAACAAGCTCCCCCTGAACATTAACAAATGCTCATCAACCCTCATTACCACATCACGAAGCCATAACACCAGACAGCACAGCTTCCAGCTGAACGGAGAGGAACTCCCCGCCACTAACCGTGCAAGACTTCTTGGTGTGACAGTAGATTCAAAATTAACCTTTTCGCCGCACATTGGGGAGGTGACCTCAAAAGCCCGCCGGATGCTCGGATTTGTGCGTCGAGTCACCCGAGGAGCTGGCGCCAGTGCATTGCGGGACCTGTACACTGCTCTAGTGCTCCCACAACTCGAGTATTGTGCTTCAGTTTGGGACCCTTACCAGAATTCACTGAAAGCGTCCCTCGAGAGTGTGCAGCGGCGTGCCGCCTACACAGTCTTGCGGTGCCAGGCTTCCCCTGGACTGCCACATTACCGCGACCTGTCCACGCAAGAACTTCTGAGGATGGTGGGGTGGAACCCCCTAGCACTTCGCCGGCAGGTTGCATCACTCCGGCTCCTTGCTGACAGCCTCCTCCCAAGAGATCAGGAGCTCCCGCTGGTTAAAAGCTTGCGCCTTACTAGATGTGGTGGGCTACAGCCACTGTTCGGTCGCACTGTGCGTCACCAGAACTCTGTCTTGGTGAAGTGTGCAACCCTCTGGCGGTCGCTGCCAAAGACGCTGACCGACTGTCCACCCCAGGAGAAGGAGGACCTTAAAGCCTGGTGCAAGGAGGCACCGGACTTCCTTCAGCAGTGATCTTCCATGGAAAAAAACGTTGCATGCTTCATTGTCATATTTATTTATTTATTTGTTTCTTTTTTCACAATATGTAGTAGTGCGGCACCACAGGCCTCAGGTATGGGCCAATGGCCTTTCTGTGGTGCCGCAACCCTCCAGGGTTGAATAAAGATATTATTATATTATTATTATTATTATTATATTTGCGCCTATACTCGTTTTCACCACAAGAAAAAAAAAACAAGTTTTGCGTATTGTTCATATGTCGCGCGAAGTAGTTAAAAAATTTGGTTGTCGGAGAAAAACGCAATGATTTTGGCGGTTGAAACGTGTACGTCTTATTGGGATAACTTATATCTAATCTAAAATGCACCTGCATATATCTTAATTCTCCACATAAAGGGGAAAATGAGTAATGCTCCGCGAGCAGCCGGCCTTTTTTTACTGAGGTTCTTGAGGTTAAAACAAGTGTAAGTGTGATCGTGTGCGTTGTACTCGCTTCAGAGGTCGTCATTTTTGGTTGAATTCACTCTATCACAGCTAGCTCAAAATAAAATGTAAGAAACTCACTCACTCTCGCCCTCACGGCCGCGTTCATCTCGAAGTCCTCACCCGCGAACTCGTAAACTAACCGAACTCACGAACTCACGCTTCTCACCGAACTTACCGAATTCACTCCCTTCAACATTTACAAGGGTACAGAATACCTTACTGAGCAAGTAAAAAATGTACAGGGTGAAACAAGGAGACGCCAGGCTCTTTAAATCGACCGGAAAATTCGGTTTCTTAACCTATCGCGCTACGACTTTGTGCAGCGTTGCCCACAGTTGGACCAATGAAATTATCTTATGATTGAAAATTTTGGCGGTCGTAGTAAAGTTTCGCTAAAGAAACAATTTTCAGTTCATTTAAATATGTTGTGCATGATAATTTCACAAGACGTAAAATATTTCGAGCTTAGAATACGCGATACTGCAATTATCGTTTCACAAACAAGAAACTACGTTTTCTCTTTGCCTTCCTCCGCGGGGGGCGAATTTCCCGTTCCCCAGGGATGCGCGGAAGCGCACGTATCTCCGGGCGTTGCAGGCCGGTCGGCTCCTTCTATCCGCAAACATGGCGTCGGTGGTGATCGTCGGCGTGGTCAAAGCTCATCGTTCCGCGTAAAAGCACAATCCTTGACTATGAATTTTCGTCGTGTGTCGCTATGATAACCCAGCACGTACTAGAAAGGAAGATCCACCTACGCGTGCAGCGATGTCGTGGCGGCACTCTCAAGACAGCAGAAACGCCCGTGCCGTCGTGTTTGTTTACTTCGACTACAGTGGTGCTTTCTAGGCATTTGTATCCTCGAACATCGCCCGGATTTCTTATTTGGCACATTTCATGCATGTGCTCAAGTTCAAGGTATTACTGGCGCGTACCGTACAAAGGATGCGAATTTTCACGCGTTTTCATCACCGGAGAAAAGTGATTAGTGTCAGCAATCCTGAGCGCTCGCAACGTCTATCTGATCACGAAATCATATTTCTACGTTGCAATATCGCTGCTAAGATTACATTGTCTTTTATAATCGTAGAAAATTCGTGTGGCGATATTTGTACTATTGCAATGTCGTGTATTAGAGTCGTGATCGTCCAAGACGGCGGACTGAATCTTTTTTATTTTCTTCTTTTCATCCACTATACATTGCAAGCCTATCAAGAAAAAATAATAAATCTTTAGGCTATAGAAAAGTGTCTGTCTATATTCTGTTACGGCATTGAGTAGCAGTGCGTCCCCTTTTTAGAGGGGCCGCTGAAACAGCTGACGGCGGCGTATAGAAGCGGTCGCCGTGCTGACGACCCCCTGCGCTTGTTGTAGTGGTTGCAGGTGTAAGTATGCGCGGCGCAGAGCGGTCGTTCCGGTTGCAACGGACGCAGTCGTAGGTACGCGCTCGTTGCATATGGCTGAACCAGCCTTCCCTCCGTCCTCCCGAGGCGAAAGTCAACGTGGCGACATCGTTTGCGTTTGACATCACGTACTAGAGGTAACGCTGCGATGTCAAACGTTGGTTTGGTTACGACTTGCCCCAACCGCAAATCGAAGAGCGCCCGAATAGGTCTGCGTTTCGTCTTCCTCGGAACCCGAACATGTCTCCGAAGCGGTGCTATCGTGCACATCGCACGTCGGAGTGGCGTCATGGGAAATCATCCCCAGGTCGGCTGTCCGCCGAAGAATTTCAACCTCTAACGGCGTCAGTTCCTCGAGCGTAGAGAACTCCGCCATGATCGAAGCTCGAATGACAAAGAGGTTCGGCCGATGTGGCTACCTCGGGATCACTGCGCGACGGAATGTCGTCCAACGCCATTTGCCCGAGATCCTTTTGATAAGCATGCAAGGACCAATGAGAGTGGTTTCGTTTTCAGATGGATCCGAGGTTTGGCGGCCTTCAATTACATTTTTATTAAAGAAATAATCACCGCATGACTATAATTTTTGGTTTTTATGGATACTTATAGCGAATTCGTTTCACACGCACCGGCCCCGTTCGAGTTCTCTCCCAGAATGCAGCGCACTCGCAGAGTGTTGCACGGAGAACTGGACAAACAAACTCGCCAAATGCACCGAGTGCAGAAGACTGATGCTGCCGCCATCTATGTTGTAGAAAATGTACCGACTTCAAACCGAAACTAGCGCCTTTCTGTTCGGAGTGATTGGTGGGAATGCGAGAGTGCAGTCACTACCAACGTTTATCTACAAACGTTGAACGCTACAACCTGTAGTTTATAGTTGCGATGACTTCAAGCAACTCGGCTGTCGTAGAGATAGTTACAGACGGCGTAAATTTCCCCACCCAGCTGTCTACAAAGCAGCTGGTTGCGATCTTTCAATTCTTATAACCGTTTACACTGAAGAAAACTGATGATGCTGTCCGAGCAGAAGCTTGATCCGTTTGAGCATGGTATTATGCGTGAACCACTGAAAGGGTACGGCTTAAAACTAGTCTGTTGGAATATCCAGCAAAACTTTTCGTGGGACTTTCGATTTCGATCGTCATTACAAGTGGATCAGATGTTAGCCTTGGTGAGGACGTCGAGAACGAGAGCTTTCTCGAACAAAATACGACGGGGCAAGTTAGCTGACGTAGATAAATGTTAAACATGATGATGTT